TGATTTGTGTGTCTTCTGCTACAAAGAAGCTGCAACATGCAATTGGTTATTCATGAGGCAGAATAATTATGTTATTACTGATCGCTTTTGTTGAAATTCAATGATTTAAACCTATTATTTAAAAAAGTATAAATTCCTGATACAATTCACACTATGCACACGGGCTACGCAGCCAATCAAGAAGAAAACTTCTCGTCACATTAACAATAGTCCAGAATGCATTTTGCTCGTTTTGTTTTTCAGAGATGTGCTGGCGTTTCTTATGCTATTTAGTTTTCTTTGAAAAGGTATACATGGACAGAAATGGACAATTTACGAACGTGCAGTATATAGCTTGTACAGTCATGTTGAATAACAAGCTTTATTTCTTTGTAAAATGGTAAAATAATGCAAAATGAACCACTGTCTTCAGAAAGAGGCAATTAATAAGGTAGAGGATGTACATGTATGTCATAACGATTTTAGCATTGTAATGGGTTTGCATTCATTAAGTTTATCCTTACAGATAAAGTTATCCAAATGTATTTTACTGCACACATGGCTGTGAATGATCTATGGCTTGAACAATGGTTATTGAACATAAGTCGTCGTCTGCAATACCTTTACAATACCTTGGGCAAAGACCGCTGCGTTTATACAAAACATGTGACATGCTAAATGATAGCATTGCCATATCTTACTACGAATGTAGTTATAAATAAATTAGTCGAAGTCTTAAGATTTTGAAATAATCAATGGACATAGAGGCAAAACAACCATATATTGTCCCTTCGAAACACTTTGTGATAAGACATCGAAGGGTCACGGATTTTATTTTCCGTACACTTTATTATATTGTCTATTGAGACTTGTATGGGATTTTTGATGTTTTGTGTGTTCTATTTTGTAAACATAAAAGAATCATTCATTAATTTTGAAATTTATGTTTATCACGAATCGGGTTTAATATCTTTCCTACTAGACAATAGACAAGTGTACCCATGACCAAAAATATTACGGATCCGACTATTTATGTTAAGACTTTGAACCTTTGACCTTTAGCATATAATACTACGTCTCATGCTGATTACCTTGTATGCATTATATTTTAAAAATTCACCAAGGAGTAATAAAATCATTAGCCGGGCAGGACTTACCTTTGACTTTATTTCATGCCTTTAAATCTACATTGTATGTGTGATCTGGACATGGATTCTGTGCGCGTTTTATCATTCATTAAACACTGTAAATATACATGTATATTTTCGGCAGTGAAATATGCTTGTCTGAAGTTTTCATTGTAATATTTTATATAGCTTTTTTAAATAGAGAACTAGAAAATCACAGAGATTGCTCAAAACGGCAAAATTGATTGTATTACAACTTAATTTGAATTAAACGTTAGTAGACACAGAAAATTCAATGTGACGCCTTCGGGCTATTCTATGACAGGCGGTGTATGGTCCCTAAATAAGATCGATTTTCAGTGATAAACTATCGTACCTACCTGCAGCAATACAGAAACAGAAATTAGAGGGAACATGTACACTTCTAGCACTTTTCCGTATTAAAAGCTCAGTTCCTGCTAACATTGTAACAACATTAATAGGTGTGCAATCATCTCCATCTATCAGTATTGCAGATAACATGTCCGGTACAAACGCGATAACCACAGGTCTGAACACCATCTCCAAGTTGAGGAAACGATCTTAACCTATCATTTTTCGATTGTTAAAATGATAACAATTTGGCTTGTGAAACGTATCTTCCAAGGGAAATCAGTGCTTTTTGTCCATAGGCGATAGCTTTTTATTTTGTCCATGAACCCCCCGATTTTGAAAGTTTAATTTCTTCGATTTACAGCGAAATAAATAAATTCGGAACCTGAAAAAATGCTTTCCGACTTCTATTTTGAACGGTCATATACGGTATTGGGTTCCTTTGCGATGATACGCAAGATCGTAAATAGATGAATGAGGTCGGGAACCAATTTCACACGCCAATATATTTCCGCTGACAGCTATTGTTCTACGGAGATGATAAAAAGAAGATAGTTAACTAAAAATAAAACAACATTCCTGACATTTTATTCAGGTTAGTTACTTATATTTTATTTACCTCATTACACAGCGCAAAGGTAATATACATGTACAAATAAGGTATATATAAAATGGAGGGATACATTAAGTACTGCTTTTCTTAGAAAGGCGTAGCACCGGTCGCTAGTCATTCTTTTCCAATCTGGAAGCCATCTAAGAATGTAGTTGTACTTACACTATGTTTAAAGACTTAAAGTTTAAGTCTTTTCACATAATTAAAATGATTTTTAACCCTCCCTCTTACCTCAGACTGTTTGTCGCTGTCCGTTTGTAGTATAATATCAGAAAGAGACTAGCCGCGAATATGTAGACAGACAGTGAGACCAGTCAAGCATGTGTGTAATGATATTTATTCAAATCATGGAGCTTAATAGAGAAATTGTATGTATATCTGTGTTCAAATGAACTGCGAGAAAATACATTCATAAACAGTTTCGATATGAACTACGTAAGTAACGAGGTATATCGAGTGAAAAATACGAGTTGTTTCCCTAACATCATCGAGTAAAATCGAAATCTCTAATGCTAAAACAATACAAATTAAGCGGGTTTTAAGCTAGCTTGTTGTGATTTTTTGGGGGGTAGGGGTTACGTCACATCGACACAGTATAGGTCATATCGCGACGTTCCAGCTTTACTGGTGGAGGAAGACCTCGGGTGCCCTTCCGTGCATTATTTCAGGCACGAACGGGCACCTGAGTAGCACCACCGACGTTCCGTAAGCTATTGTTGTTATTCAATGTACGATTTTAAAATTTATTACACCAATGGAAACCTTTGGATCTTAGCTTCGTCACAGTATATACTTCAACACATCTTTTGACACCAAAGTATTTAAATTAACATGTTACAGACCATTTTATATACGATTTGTACAGTGTCAACCGTAAAAAACTACTGAAAAGAATAGCATGTCGTCTTTTAGTTCGGAAACTGTTAATCGGTGTATTCTTTCAAAGTGTGCAAAGACTCTAATTTTGCTATAGTAACTTGGACAAAAAGCTCTTGAAGCTTATCGCGTTTGCAAATTGTTGTTATCAGTGTAACTTGTTCTATTTTTATAGCATAAAATTAAGATTGTTGCTGCTGTAATCGGAGCGAACATTTAATTAGCATTTGAAATTTTCATCTGAGAAAATGATACTCAGCCATGGCAATGATTTCTAAAATAAATTCAATAAAATTATATCGGTGTTGAGTCTTTGTCGATGGATAATTTATATGCAAATAAAAATTGTTTTTACAAGCCAATTTACGTTATTTTTTACATTAAATTCCGAATAATTGTAATACGCATCGATGTATGTAAACTGGCTGTATACATTTCATTGCCTCGCAAGACATGTGAGTGTGCTTCTGTTTAATGACAAACAACCCCGAGTGCTTGTTTTTTGTTGTTGTTGATTTAAGTTCTTGTTTTGTTTGTTTTATTGTTTTGTTTTATATATAAACCAGTGGTCATTGGTCCGATCCTTGGAAGGGGTAGACATTTTACTTGACAATCCATATCGAACATTGACGCCAATTGTCATTTATCTTTAACTGTTTAACGTGTTAAATTCGGTCAAAAGGACAGATAGTTACAATATTAATCAATCAAATTACTGCAGAAAACATTTGATGTCTTCAAATTATAAACAAGAACAAATATATCACAGGCTGCCTTTTTTTCTGGTTCGTGACCGAAAGTTTTATTACAGACCAAAACCATAAGCATATTGCTCCGGTATAGCATCTCATTGATTTCGCTCCGCCTCCTTGGCACATGCACACGTTTGACTTTTTTTAGGAAACATTAATGAATTATTATTATTGCCTTTGTGACGGACTATTTTTGACGTTGGTTCCGATCTTAGCTGTGTATAATGTAGCATTTGGAAACGGAAACAAAAATTATTAAAGGCGTGGCCGGTTTTGCAAAAATTACGTCATTCGTGAATTCATTTCTTGACAGCTACATTTCATTTCCTGAAAATATTAATAGAAGTGAAGTATCTTGAAACTCCTTTTTAGTTTAAACGATAAGGTATATAATAAAAGGAAAATTATGTTGTAGCAGCTTTCTGGGGCCATGTATTTTGCTACTCGCAATGTTAGAAAATTGATATCTTACTCCACCTTCGGTCTCGCGAAATATCTATTTTCTAACGCTGGCCGTAGCATAATACAAAGCCGCAGAAAGCTACTACAACATAATATTCCGTATTTACAATTATAGCTAACGATGTATTCAAAATTACTTTAAAATATATTGCACTGCAAATCCTGTTTAATCACTTTACACAACCTTTACAGGCCATTTCCTCCCTAGTAAAAAGAACATACAAACGTTCAACAGCAGCAGTTGGAAGTGAAAGCTTTTGATCTTTTTTTTTATTTTTCAGACAATTCAATAAAGAATAGGAAGAAAAAAAGCAGTTTTATGATTTACCCATGTACTTTTCATGCATATCAATGAACATTGCCATTATGTAGATGCATTAAAGATATACTATGCTTATCTTTGTGTAAAATATTTTTTATCTTAAAAATGTATTTAAATCCATGAAATTCTTACTGAATATGTTTAATTTGAATAAAATAATGAATAGACTATGTATAGGAAGCTGCATTCCCTATTACAAGTCAAGTGAAGTTGACCTTTTCTTAAAAAATGCCAGTTTTTTAATGACACTATAAATTCATATTGTGACCACTTATAGTGTGTCGAGTTCGAAACATAACATATCTGCTTTAAATAAAGTCAAAACATGTTTATTTAATACTAAAAAGAGACTGTGTAGCAATTATTAATAACTGTAAAAATCAAATTTGAGCATAGGATATCTTTAACCTTTAACGTTTGACTACAAAATGCAAACACAGTTAAAGAACTGCATTGTACATTTACAATTTAATCTATGTATAGTTATCATGTAATAAATTAATAATTAAATATTACTGTTACAGTATTGAGATTAAACAGTAGAATAGAATAGGTTTATATTCAGTCTCAATTCTTAGCTACATGTTAACATATTCCATAACAAATTTGCTGCAAAAACACAGGCATAATCTACAAAAGTTGTTCGTTTTTATATATCAGGCTATCACATATTAGTTGTTGTCCTTAAGAAAATAAAGGATTCGTGAAATATCCGGCGTTTCCTTGGTTACGATGTCTGATCCCGTTTGGTGGTCTCGGGACTGAAAATCTTTTAGTCAATATTTCCATTGCTTCACGGTCAACTACAAGTTTCTTTCGAGCTCTGTAAAAGTTAAATATTGCATGTTTATAAATATTATACTTTAACTATAATATACGGTGGTACAGAGGTGACATGTGTGTGTGCGCGTGCGTGCGTGCGTGTGTATGTGTGTTTTTTTTTTTATTTACACCACATGTCACCTCTGTTCCACCGTTATAATAACCCTTTTTCTGGCATTTGAATGGTTACTTATTTTAGCTTATAAACAAATGTTAAACTTAAAACTTGTCTAAACCGTACACTCCTATTGTTATCAGTTTCTTATAGTCATATCTGAAGAGAGATTTAAAGTAAATTGAGGCATAATTAAAAGGTCTGTTATCTCAGTAATAATTATGTTGAAAGTATCTTGTGTCATTTAACAACAAACCATGAAATAATCATATATGTACATTTGTATGCTGTTGGTAAGTATGATGAGCATTGTCCGATATTTCATATCCGTGCCGTACATAACAGAGTTATTATGAGTTTTATTCGAGAGCAATACATAATTATTGGCCACATCATTTTTTACTTGAAAAAGAAGAAGAAATATTTAAATAGGAGTATCAAAATGATGCATGTATTTATTGTTTTGTTATGTATCTGAAATCTGGAAAATGTGCCAATCGTAGACCAATTCACTTTAAAACATACAAGGAGTCTATATACGCGTATTTAACGCATACAATTCCAAGAAGAAAAGAAGATTAAACAAAACACCGATATTCATTATATACTATCTGATGAATGCATCTACTATCTTATAAATCAAGGATGTTAAAAATATCCTAGAAAACTTACCTCTTAACAATGTAAAAAGCCTGTAGTGTCCCGCCTACTGCACCCACCAGACCTATCACAATCCCTACAAGAATGATCCAGTGCGACTCTAACCAACTCTAAAAATAGCAAGCGTTACATTTGTAATTTTTCCACTTGGTAGAATCATGACTGAGAATACTGATTTCAAATTAATCACAATAAAACTCCCCCCCCCCAACGCACAACTCTGTGCAACAGTTGTCTCATAACAACAGCCAGTTTCAATCGCCTGATATTTTTACTCTATAATTATACTCTCACCAACTGTTTCCTTTCAACAACGGTCAACAGCCATTCATTCCGGCTGCTGGATGTTGAAGGGCCGTCGCAATGTACCTATTTATACTGATATTGGTTTTCGTAATATAGTAGTTTCTGCAAAGTCAACCTTGTCAAACGCGATAAGGATTTAGATAAATGTTAAAAATCATATTGATACAAGTAAATATGAAAAATATTGTCGATGAGTTATGCCTAAAACATATTAGATCTATCTTATATATGGTCTAATAAATCCTAACGTCACAATGCATATTTCACGTAATTCTAATACCTGTTTTACATGCTGTTTTGCATCATGCGGATGCTTAAAGAATATTTCCGTGTGTTGCCCGATAGCTCTAGCCATTTCGTCTCGCGTCAAAGGTCTTCCATCACAAATTGCGCTGATTGCAACAGAGCCTCTGAGGAAGATAAAACCGAGAAAATTAATTTAAAAAAAAACAACCCTCTGAATTTCTTAATTCTATCTATGTTTTTATCCGAATATTGATAATCTCTTTTTTCTCTTTAAACAACGACGTGAATTAATACACACTAAAATCCCCATTCATAAGTTAAAATAGTGTTATAATGATTTACCTAGAGTTTTAATAACTGATAAAAAACATTATGAAAACTAAGAAACAAATGAAAACATGTGCACTGCTGACTTGTTCATGTAGAAAACGAACTGAACATCGCGTAAGGATTTTACAATTATTACAGTATATAATATAGTCCTTATGGCCCCGATACTAAACGGATATAATAACTTGTTAAACTGTGTACAAATAAGTATAAAGTTGTGTTGATTACATTTCATGTTGTGAAAATATCCATATGAATAATCGCTTTTCTGAATTTTTTTTTTTTTTTTTTTTTTGAAGTTCTTCTCTTGCTTTGAAATCGATTTTTTTTCATGGTATTATTAAACCCATTAAACCTTCTTAATTACTTGATTACTTAAAAGGGATCGTCCAACCTGCCTTTATGTACCTGCCATGTTCTTGTTTCAATTTCAAGAATTTATGAAAGTTTTTTAGTTCATTTCATTTTATTGTTTTTATCTAAATAAATGTTCAATTTTCAAGTAAGCCAATGTAAAGAGTGTGAGCACTACTATGAATTAAAATAAAAAGTTACCATAAATGTACTATTGTCGCAGTAGATTGACAGAAGAATAATTGAATAAGGTTTCAGATGAAGATTTGAAAATAGTTACTCATGTAAATTCACAGAATATATAGAATGATATAGAATTGAAAAATGTTACCGCAATAAATTTACAAGTGAAAAAAATTGTAAAACAAACAGTTATGGATAGTTACCACAATTAATTTACAGATGAAGAATTGGAATCACTTAGAGTGCAGTAAATTTGCAAATGAGGAATTGGAGTTACGCAGAAAAGTCACTTAAGAAAAACTTAAAGCAGTTGCTGTTGTAAATTAAGATAAAAAATGAACACTGTTGCCACATTCTTTAACAGACGATTCAATTATAAAATGATGAGACTTTCTTTGGTTTAAGTGTAATAAAATGTATTTGTACCTTCATATATTATTTCTGTTTGATAATTAAACTCAAACTTGCTTTTTTGTATGATCAATAAAATAATATTTTGCATTGTGTTTTATCAATAAAAATCTATTTGTTTAACTTCAGTTTTTTCATTACTTACTTATACCGTGTCTGGTCAATGGAAACCTGCGCGTCATCACAAATAACTATACTTTGCCTCAGTATTGAAATAACGTTTTGTACTATATTATCCGTGTTAACGTCAGCAAAACCTTTCATGTTATTTGTTGATTCCAACTTGTATAAATCTGTAAATAAGAAATAATTATGTAAAGAAAATTTAAAACTCTTGCATTCACTCAGAAGGGCAGAAATTCGATCTCTGTTTACGTTAAATATCAGCTCAATGTAAACTATATCATCTCAGTTTTAAAGTCAGCTCGTTCTAAGTTCAATATCAGCTCGGTGTTAGTTTTATATCAGCTCTGGGTTAGATAAATATCAGCTAAGTGGTAGGTTAAATATCAGCTCGGTGTTATTTGAATAACACCTCGGTGTTATTTCAATATCGGCAGATAGGTGTCAGTTCAGTGTAAGTTAAATATCAGCTCATTGCAAGCTAAATATCAATTCGGTGTTATTTCAATATCTGCTCGGTTTTAGTTTAATATCACCCCTGTGTAAGTTTGAAATGTCAGGGCAGAGTTAGTTTAATTCAAAAACCTAATTTCGGTGTTAAATGTCAGCTTAGTGTAAGATCAATGTCAGCCAAGTTTATTGTGTATGTATAATGTTACCTAAGCTTCAGTATGATGTCCGCCAAATATCAATAGTTTCTAGATTGATATTCATGTAGTTTAATCCAACCTGGATAAAGTAAATGTCTTGCAAGTGCAAGGTTAATGTCTGGCCAGTGCAAAATTAATGTCTGATCAGTGTAAGTTTAATGTCTTGTCAGTGTAAGATTAATCTATGGTCAGTGAAACGTAAATGTCTGGCCGGTGCAAGGTTAATGTCTGATTAGTGTAAGTTTAATCTATGGTCAGTGTTAGGTAAATGTCTGGCCATAGAAGAGTTAATGTCTGATCAGTGTAAGTTTAACCTCTAGTTAGTGAAAGATAAATGTCTGGCCGGTGCAAGGTTAATTTCTAGCCAGTAAAAGATTAATGTCTACCCAGTGTAAGCTTAATGTCTTGTCAGTGTAAGGTAAATATCTAGCCTGTGCAATGTTAATGTTTGATCAGTGTAAGTTTAATGTCTTGTCAGTGCAAGTTAATGTCTGGCCGATGCAATGTTGATTTCTAGCCATTAATATATTTAGGTTTGGCCAGTGTAATATTTATGATTTATGTCTGGCAAGTGTAAGTATATTGTCCACTCATTCAAGATTATGTAATGTTCATGGCGAAACGATACATGTGAAATTTTTGTAACTTATGATACAGACGGAATAATTTTGCTTGCTATAAAAACGGCGTGATATATGGTGAGTAGTTTTAAGAAAGAGTCGGTTGTATTGTTGAAAAGAACTATGGTAAACTAATGTTATTTGATTTATGGCTAAATATACACTTATGCTTTAAAAATGTCCAACAAAATGAAAAGGTGTTAAATGTGTGAACAAATGGCCTTCTAAAAAGGCTTTTCTGTTGTTTAAGAAAAGGTGCAAAACAAGATCAAAACAGGGTGACATACAATGTACGCATACCCCAACACAGAACCACAACAATGAGCCCAGCAGGACAGCAAACAGACCACATGGGCAAACCACGGACAGGATCTCATTATTAATTATTCAAAATTGGATTTAGTTAGAACGCAGAGTAATGCCTACCATGAGAGTTCGTATGCGTCTGTGATACGATAACGTTAGGCATGGGTTCCAGGGACATGCACATGACATATTCAGCAATGATATATTGAAATGTTTATTTAGATACATAACAAAATTAATCCTACCATCACAATGGTATCCTCCATGTTTATTTCTACAGATCTTATCATTTGTGCAAGTTGATTCAGTCTCACATTCATTGATATCATACTCGCAATGATTCCCAGTAAAAAGCTCGTTGCATTCACATATATATCCCCCAGGATTTGATCCCAATGTTTTGCACTTTCCATTATTCAAGCATGGACCGGAAGCACACATATCTCGTACGTCACAGCGTTCTCCTGTCATTCCTTCGCTACACAAACAAATATAACCTCCATATCTGTCAAAACAAGTGGATTTGTTTCTGCAAGGGTCTGATTGGCAACTGCTTGTACGTTCCTCACAATTTGGTCCTGTAAATCCATCTCTACATAGACATGCGTAGCTTCCTTCAATATCTTGACATGTTGAATTATTGTTGCACGGGTAACTTGAGCAGAAAGTAATAGTTTCACAAGTCGGTCCAGTATATCCAGGTGTACAAACGCAGTGAAAATTATTTTGTTCTTCAATGCATTTTGCATTATTCTTACAAAGTTTAAATGAGCAGTAATTAATGTCACTTTCACAATTTGTGCCAGTATATCCCTGTTGACAGATACATTTATAGTTTGCTTGTTCCTCAATACATGTGGCATTGTTCTGACATGAAGTGTTTGTACAATAACTGACATCCGTCTCACAATTTACACCAGTGTACCCCGGTGAACAGAGGCATTTATAGTTTGGCTGTTCCTCAAAACAAGTAGAGTTGTTCTGGCATGTATTATTTGTACAATAATTGATATCTATCTCACAATTAAGTCCAGTATATCCCGATGCACAGAGGCAATTATAGCTTGATTGATCCTCAATGCAGGTTGCATTACTTTTACATGTATTATTTGAACAATAATTGAAATATATCTCACAATTAAGTCCAATATATCCCTGTTGACAGATACATGTATAGCTTGTTTGTTCCTCAATGCAGGTAGCATTGTTCAGGCATGTATAAATTGTACAATAACTGATATCTATCTCACAATTTAGTCCAGTATATCCCGGTTGACATATACATGTATAATCTATTTGTTCCTCAATGCAGGTGGCATTGTTCAGGCATGTATTATTTGTACAATAATTGATATCTATCTCACAATTTAGTCCAGTATATCCCGGTTGACATATACATTTATAGTTTGTTTGTTCCTCAATGCAGGTTGCATTGTTCTGACATTTATTACTTGTACAATAATTGATATATTTCTCACAATTTAGTCCGGTATATCCCGGTTGACAAATACATGTATAGTTTATTTGTTCCTCAATGCAGGTTGCATTTTTCAGGCATGTATTGTTTGTACAATAATTGATATCTATCTCACAATTTAGTCCGGTATATCCCGGTTGACAGATACAGGTATAGTTCGTTTGTTCTTCAAGGCAGGTTGCATTGTTCAGGCATGTATTATTTGTACAATACTTGATATCTACCTCACAATTTAGTCCAGTGTATCCCGGTTGACAAATACAGGTATAGTTTGTTTGTTCCTCAAGGCAGGTTGCATTGTTCAGACATGTATTATTTGTACAATAATTGATATCTTCCTCACAATTAAGTCCGGAATATCCAGGTTGACAGATACATGTATAGTTTGTTTGTTCCTCAAAGCAGGTTGCATTGTTCAGGCATGTATTATTTGTACAATAATTTATATCTACCTCACAATTTAGTCCAGTATATCCCGGTTGACATATACATGTATAATTTGTTTGTTCCTCAAAGCAGGTTGCATTTTTCAGACAAGTATTATTTGTACAATAATTCATATCTACCTCACAATTGCGTCCAGTATATCCCGGTTGACAGAAACATGTATAGTTTGTTTGTTCCTCAAAACAGGTTGCATTGTTCAGGCATGTTATATTTGCACAAAAATTAATATCTATCTCACAATTTAATCCAGTAAATCCCGGTTCACAGATACATGTATAGTTTGTATGTTCCTCAAAACAGGTTGCATTGTTCAGGCATGTATTATTTGCACAAAAATTAATATCTATCTCACAATTTAGTCCAGTATATCCCGGTTGACAGATACATGTATAGCTAGTTTGTTCCTCAATGCAGGTGGCGTTGATCTGGCATGTATTATTTGTACAAAAATTGATATCTATCTCACAATTTAGTCCAGTATATCCCGGTTGACAAATACATGTATAGTTTGTTTGTTCCTCAATGCAGGTTGCATTATTCAGACATGTATTATTTGTACAATAATTAATATCTTCCTCACAATTAAGTCCGGTATATCCCGGTTGACAGATACATGTATACTTTGTTTGTTCCTCAATGCAGGTTGCATTGTTCAGGCATGTATTATTTGTACAATAATTGATATCTACCTCACAATTTAGTCCACTATATCCCTGTGGACAGATACATGTATAGTGTGTTTGTTCCTCAATGCAGGTGGCGTTATTCAGGCATGTATTATTTGTACAATAATTAATATCTTCCTCACAATTTAATCCAGAATATCCCGGTTGACATATACATGTATAGTTTGTTTGTTCCTCAATGCAGGTGGCGTTGTTCTGGCATGTATGATTTGTACAATAATTGATATCTACCTCACAATTTAATCCAGAATATCCCGGTTGACAGATACAGGTATAGTTCGTTTGTTCCTCAAAACAGGTTGCATTGTTCACACATGTATTATTTGTACAATAATTAATATCTTCCTCACAATTAAGTCCGGTATATCCCGGTTGACAGATGCATGTATAATTTGTTTGTTCCTCAATGCAGGTTGCATTATTCTGACATGTATTATTTGTACAATAATTAATATCTTCCTCACAATTAAGTCCGGTATATCCAGGTTGACAGATACATGTATAGTTTGTTTGTTCCTCATTGCAGGTTGCATTGTTCAGGCATGCATTATTTGTACAATAATTGATATCTACCTCACAATTTAGTCCAGTATATCCCGGTTGACAGATACATGTACAGTTTGTTTGTTCCTCAAAGCAGGTTGCATTGTTCAGGCATGTATTATTTGCACAAAAATTAATATCAATCTCACAATTTAGTCCAGTATATCCCAGTTCACAGATACATGTATAATTTGTTTGTTCCTCAAAACAGGTTGCATTGTTCAGACAAGTATTATTTGTACAATACTTGATATCTATCTCACAATTTAGTCCAGTATATCCCGGTTGACAGATACATGTATAGTTTGTTTGTTCCTCAATGCAGGTTGCATTGTTAAGGCAAGTATTATTTGTACAATAATTGATATCTTCCTCACAATTTAATCCAGAATATCCCGGTTGACAGATACATGTATAGTTTGTTTGTTCCTCAATGCAGGTTGCATTGTTAAGGCAAGTATTATTTGTACAATAATTGATATCTACCTCACAATTTAGTCCAGTATCTCCCGGTTGACAGATACAGGTATAGTTCGTTTGTTCCTCAATACAGGTTGCATTATTATGACATGTATTATTTGTACAATACTTGATATCTTCCTCACAATTAAGTCCGGTATATCCAGGTTGACAGATACATGTATAGTTTGTTAGTTCCTCAATGCAGGTGGCGTTATTCAGGCATGTATTATTTGTACAATAATTAATATCTACCTCACAATTTAATCCAGAATATCCCGGTTGACAGGTACATGTATAGTTTGTTTGTTCCTCAATGCAGGTTGCATTGTTCAGGCATGTATTATTTGTACAATAATTGATATCTACCTCACAATTTAGTCCACTGTATCCCTTTGGACAGATACATGTATAGTTTGTTTGTCCCTCAATGCAGGTTGCATTATGATGACATGTATTATTTGTACAATACTTGATATCTATCTCACAATGTAGTCCATTATATCCCGTTTGACAAATACAGGTATAGTTCGAGTGTTCCTCAAAACAGGTTGCATTATTCTGACATGTATTATTTGTACAATAATTGATATCTTCCTCACAATTAAGTCCGGTATATCCCGGTTGACAGATACAGGTATAGTTTGTTTGTTCCTCAAAACAGGTTGCATTGTTCAGACATGTATTATTTGTACAATAATTGATATCTTCCTCACAATTAAGTCCGGTATATCCCGGTTGACAAATACAGGTATAGTTTGTTTGTTCCTCAAAACAGGTTGCATTGTTCAGACATGTATTATTTGTACAATAATTAATATCTTCCTCACAATTAAGTCCGGTATATCCCGGTTGACAGATACATGTATAATTTGTTTGTTCCTCAATGCAGGTTGCATTGTTCAGGCATGTATTATTTGTACAATAATTGATATCTACCTCACAATGTAGTCCGGTATATCCAGGTTGACAGATACATGTATAGTTTGTTTGTTCCTCAATGCAGGTGGCGTTATTCAGACAGGTATTATTTGTACAATAATTAATATCTTCCTCACAATGTAGTCCGGTATATCCCGGTTGACAGATACATGTATAGTTTGTTTGTTCCTCAATGCAGGTGGCATTGTTCAGGCATGTATTATTTGTACAATAATTAATATCTACCTCACAAATTTAATCCAGAATATCCCGGTTGACATATACATGTATAGTTTGTTTGTTCCTCAATGCAGGTGGCGTTATTCAGACATGTATTATTTGTACAATAATTAATATCTTCCTCACAATTAAGTCCGGTATATCCAGGTTGACAGATACATGTATACTTTGTTTGTTCCTCAATGCAGGTGGCGTTATTCAGGCATGTATTATTTGTACAATAATTAATATCTACCTCACAATTTAATCCAGAATATCCCAGTTGACATATACATGTATAGTTTGTTTGTTCCTCAATGCAGGTGGCGTTGTTCTGGCATGTATTATTTGTACAATAATTGATATCAACCTCACAATTTAATCCAGAATATCCCGGTTGACAGATACATGTATAGTTTGTTTGTTCCTCAAAGCAGGTTGCATTGTTCAGACAAGTATTATTTGTACAATACTTGATATCTATCTCACAATTTAGTCCGGTATATCCCGGTTGACAGATACAAGTATAGTTTGTTTGTTCCTCAATGCAGGTTGCATTATTATGACATGTATTATTTGTACAATACTTGATATCTACCTCACAATGTAGTCCATTATATCCCGTTTGACAAATACAGGTATAGTTCGTTTGTTCCTCAAAACAGGTTGCATTATTATGACATGTATTATTTGTACAATACTTGATATCTTCCTCACAATTAAGTCCGGTATATCCAGGTTGACAGATACATGTATAGTTTGTTTGTTCCTCAATGCAGGTGGCGTTATTCAGGCATGTATTATTTGTACAATAATTAATATCTACCTCACAATTTAATCCAGAATATCCCGGTTGACATATACATGTATAGTTTGTTTGTTCCTCAATGCAGGTTGCATTGTTCTGGCATGTATTATTTGTACAATAATTAATATCTTCCTCACAATTAAGTCCGGTATATCCCGGTTCACAGATACATGTATAATTTGTTTGTTCCTCAATACAGGTTGCATTGTTCGGGCATGTATTATTTGTACAATAATTGATATCTACCTCACAATGTAGTCCGGTATATCCCGGTTGACAAATACAGGTATAAGTTTGTTTGTTCCTCAAAGCAGGTTGCATTGTTCAGACATGTATTATTTGTACAATAATTAATTAATATCTTCCTCACAATTAAGTCCGGTATATCCCGGTTGACAGATACATGTATAATTTGTTTGTTCCTCAATACAGGTTGCATTGTTCGGGCATGTATTATTTGTACAAATAATTGATATCTTCCTCACAATTAAGTCCGGTATATCCAGGTTGACAGATACATGTATAGTTTGTTTGTTCCTCAATGCAGGTGGCGTTATTCAGGCAATGTATTATTTGTACAATAATTAATATCTACCTCACAATTTAATCCAGAATATCCCGGTTGACATATACATGTATAGTTTGTTTGTTCCTCAATGCAGGTGGCGTTGTTCTGGCATGTATGATTTGTACAATAATTGATATCTTCCTCACAATTTAATCCAGAATATCCCGGTTGACAGATACATGTATACTTTGTTTGTTGCTCAATGCAGGTTGCATTATTATGACATGTATTATTTGTACAAAAACTGATATCTATCTCACAATTTAGTCCGGTATATCCCGGTTGACAAATACAGGTATAGTTCGTTTGCTCCTCAAGGCAGGTTGCATTGTTCAGACATGTATTATTTGTACAATAATTAATATCTTCCTCACAATTAAGTCCGGTATATCCCGGTTGACAGATGCATGTATAATTTGTTTGTTCCTCAAAGCAGGTTGCATTGTTAAGACATGTATTATTTGTACAATAATTGATATCTACCTCACAATTAAGTCCGGTATATCCAGGTTGACAGATACATGTATAGTTTGTTTGTTCCTCATTGCAGGTTGCATTGTTCAGGCATGCATTATTTGTACAATAATTGATATCTACCTCACAATTTAGTCCAGTATATATCCCGGTTGACAGATACATGTATCGTTTGTTTGTTCCTCAAAGCAGGTTGCATTGTTCAGGCATGTATTATTTGCACAAAAATTAATATCAATCTCACAATTTTAGTCCAGTATATCCCGGTTCACAGATACATGTATAAATTTGTTTGTTCCTCAAAGCAGGTTGCATTATTCTGACATGTATTATTTGTACAAAATTGATATCTATCTCACAATTTAGTCCAGTATATCCCGGTTGACAGATACATGTATAGTTTTGTTTGTTCCTCAATGCAGGTTGCATTGTTCAGACATGTATTATTTGAACAATAGTTGATATCTTCCTCACAATTAAGTCCGGTATATCCCGGTTGACAGATACATGTATAATTTGTTTGTTCCTCATTGCAGGTTGCATTGTTCAGGCATGCATTATTTGTACAATAATTGATATCTACCTCACAATTTAGTCCAGTATATCCCGGTTGACAGATACATGTATAGCCCCCCCCCCCCCCCCCCCCCCATCCCTCCTCCCTCTCCCCCCCCCCCTCCTCCCCCCCCCCCCCCCCCCCTCCTCCCCCCCCCCCCCCACCCCCCCCCCCCCCTCCCCCTCACCCCCCCCCCCCCCCCAACCCCCCCCCCCCCTCCTGCTCCCCCCCCCCCCCCTCCCCCCCCCCCTCCCCCCCTCCCCCCCCCCCCCCCCCACCCCCCCCCCCCCCCCCTCCCCCCACCCCCCCCAACCTCCCCCCCCCCCCCCTCCCCCCCCCCTCCCCCCCCCCGTTTGCCCCCCCCCCCCCCCCCCCCCTCCCCCCCCCTCCCCCCCCCCCCCCCCCCCCCCCCCTTTCCCCCCTCCCCCCCCCCCCCCCCCCCCAACCCCCCCCCTCTCCCGCCCCCCCCCCCCCCTCCCCCCCAGAAACCCCCCCCCCCAACCCCCCTGGGGCCCCCCCCCCCATTTAAAGTCCCCCCCCCAAAAAAACCCCCCCCCAAAACCCCCAAAAAAAACCCCCCAACCCCCCTCCGTTTCCCCCCCCCCCCCTTTTTTTCCTCCGGGGAATTTTAACCTCCCCCCCCCGCCCCCCCTTTTTTCCCCCCCCCCCCCCCATAAACCCCCCACCCAAAACTGTTTTTTCCCCCCCCCCCCCCCCCCCCCCCCAAAAACCCCCCCCCCAACCCCCCCCAAAAAAAAATTCCCCCTCCCAAAAATTTCCCCCCCCCCCCCCTTTACCCCCCCCCCAAACATTTAAATTCCCCCCCCCTTTTTTTGCCCCCCCCCCCTTCCCCCCCCCTTTAGGCCCCCCCTTATTTTTAAAATTTAATTTAACCCCCCCCCCCCCCCCTTTCCCCCCCCCCCGTCCCCCCCCCCCCCCCCCTCCCCCCCCCAACCCCCCCCCCCCCCCCCCAAAATTTTCTTCCCCCCCCCCCCCCCCCCCCCTTCCCCAAAACAGACCCCCCCCCCCCCCCCCCCTCATCCCCCCCCCCCCCCCCCCCCACCCCCCCCCCCGGGACCCCCCCAAAATTGTTTACCCCCCCCCCAAATCCCCCCCCCCCCCTTCCCCCCCCCCCCCTGGGTTTTTTTTTTCCCCCCCCCTCCCCCCCCCCCCTTCCCCCCCCCCCCCACCTGTTTTTCCCCCCCCCAATTTTTCCCCCCCCCCCCCCCCCTTTAAACCCCCCCCCCCCCTTCCCCCCCTCCCCCACCCCCCCACCCCCCCCCCTTTTTCCCCCCCCCCCCCCCCCCCCAACCCGGCCCCCCCCCCCTTTTCCCCCCCTTTTCCCCCCCCCCCCCCCCCCCAAAATTTTCCCCCCCCCCTTTCCCCCCCCAAACGGTTGGATTTTAGGATATTTTTTGAAAAATTAAAAAATTAAAACCAAAAATTTGTCCGTAAAACCTCTTGGGCAAGGAAAACAGTTTTTAAATTTTTTTTTCTAATTGCATTTTTCCAATTGCAGGCAAGTTTTTTGTGGCCCAAAAAAATTAAATTTTCCTTCACAATTTTCCGGGATTTCCCGGTTTTGGGCAAATTTTCAGGAAAAAGGCCTCAAGGAGGGTTTATTCCCTTCAAATGGAACAAAAGTTTTCCTCACCAAAATGGAATCCCCTTTCAAAATTAAAAAGTTTTTTTGTTTAATTTTCTTTTATTATTTTTCCTTGGGTATTTTTTCCCAATTTAGCCGTTAAACCACCGGGCCAAATTTTTTTCCCCATAGGTTTTTTTTAAACAGTCAAAAAAATTTTAAATTTTAAATTTTCAAAATTTAACCAAATTCCCCGGGAAGTACATTTTTAATTTGTTTTTCAATTCCCTTGCCTTAATCATTTCCCCTTTATTGCAAAAATTTTTATTTTACAATTTTTTCCCAAACCCTTAAAACATGTAAAATTTTAGTTTTTCGTTTGGGGGTCCGCCCCGAATTTCCCCGGTTGACAAATACACCCCCGGTTGACAAATACATTATAGTTCGTTTGTTCCTCAGTGCAGTTGGCATTGTTCATGCATGTATGGTTTGTACAATAATTGATATCTACCTCACAATTTAATCCAGAATATCCCGGTTGACAGATACATGTATAGTTTGTTTGTTCCTCAATGCAGGTTGCATTGTTCTGACATGTATTGTTTGTACAATAATTGATATCTACCTCACAGTTTAAGCCTTCAAATCCTTCATCACAGTCACATGAATATATGTTCACATTATTTGAACAACGGCCATGTTTGCATAAATTATTGCAACAAAAATCTATCTCGTCACAATTGAAGTTCTTGTATCCATTTTCACATGTGTTATTACTGGTTGTGTCATTTAGAAAATGATAAGTTTTGTTGTAAGGAAGTATATAATTTGATACCACGTTACATCTGTCGCCTGCAAAACCATCTGGACACTGGCATACACCGTTATTACATGTCCCTTTTCTACAGTGATAGTCTATTTGTCTTGACGAGGTTGCATTATTGTTTGTTTGTGACTCTGAAAAAAAATATCAAATGTATGACCTTACATCAACTATATCTTGCAGTTTACCGTTGGACAAGTATGTATCTACGGAATAAGAGACCTGCATAGACGTGATTATAAAACCTGGGTGCATTATGGAACAAAAGTTGCATAACAGCCAAAATGATACAGTCAAAATACAATAGTATTTTGATGTAATTTTCTTTTATTATATACCGTCGATATAATGCGCAATTGAGCGCTGCTTGAATCTACGTGCCATTTTTACTATAGTTATTTTAAACGATCACTTAATTAAATTCTTAAATCAAAATCGACCTAAATGTCGGAATACATTGCATTTAATTCTGAAATAATAATCATCCATTGCCTTACTCCATCTTATTTGCATTTATAATGCTATAACCTTTATATTTTGACATTTTTGACAAACCTAAAATAGATAAAATTTTAGGATTTTCTCGGCGTCCGCCAAGATCCGGAAGAACGGAAACGTACGACCGCATTGCATATAAATCACATACATGTATAATTCGTGTAATACAAGAGGGTACGAATCCTGATTTTTGCATTTTTTTGTCTGTTGAAACATGTTAGAATTGTATGTATCGTGTTACAAACTTGTGAGTGTAATGGAAAAAATCAACAATATAACTATGCAATGATAGAACGGTAAGACTTTAGCAAGTCGGTGATGATTCCTTTTACAGTTATATGATGTCTTAAAAAAGGTTAAATTTTCATTTATTCTGAAACAGTGTTTTTATAATGTAAAAATAGATATAAAAAGTACAATACACGCATACTCCAAAGTTGCACTGTTTTTTTGCAAGAGGACATTGAACATTTATAATCAATTGTTTTAATTAACTTCTTACAATCAAAAAAGCTTAGACTCTTATCTGAAAAGGACAATTTAATTTTTGAGGTTATGCACAACATCATGTAAGAGATTTATGAAATGTTTAGCCGCCTGGTTTTCAGTACGTACTTTACGATCTGTGACATATTAAGTTAAACCGGGCGTTTGACCCTCGCTGCAGCTGTTAGATCGGCTATCATACAATAAAAATAAAAATAGTAACTATATCACACATACCTATACATTCTCCAATGTTGCACTTTATGTTGTCAGGAGGACATGTCTCGTTGCAAGCTTTACCATAAAATCCAGTAGAACACCATACCATTATTTCAATATCAACACTTAAAATATTGTGTAATGTATTGAAAAAAGATAAGTTTATTAAACACTTTCATAAATAAGGGAAAGACTCAAAACGAGTTTGTTTTTTTTTTTTTTTTTTTTTTGTTTTGTTTTTTTTTTTTTTTTTTTTTTTTTGGCAGAAATTTATTTTAATTTAAATTTACTGATTTATTTTCCTATTATGACCATATTTATTAAACCCATCGGCGGCTACATATGATTACACACTAAAGAATTGGCACCCACTTTCGGCCGCACAAATTCACTCGGACGCATCTTCACACTTTTTTTTAATTTGCGAAATAAATACGACCATTTCATGTTTATCATGATATTTAAATTGAATTATTATTTTGTTAAAATTGATACAAATAATGTTGCAGAATTTTAGTATTGCTATATTATTATCATAAAATGTATTGAAAAACAATATTAAACACTTGGTATTATTCTGGTCGAACGAAGAGACCACGAAAAAGTATTATTTAAAATAACGGCAGGCAAACAAAAGCATACATATACAATGAAAAGGTAACAATTTAGTCAGATCTATAAAACTCGCATGCTCCCTTTTAGATAAAAAACTCTTATGATCACTAACATATTGCATTGACATACAAAGATAATGTGTGTGTGTGTGTGTGTGTGTGTTTCTTTTTCTTTCCTTGTTCTTTTTTTTTCAGAATTTTTGCTAACGTCTCTTTCCATACAAAATTTTGTGTTGATATTGTTTATTTGCTTTTTCTTTCTGCCAGTTTCAACTAATGATATGGATGTAGCTGTACATCAAGGTTTATAGTCTATAGTTTTACTTGGAAGAATGGAAACACAAATCAATACTACATGTACTACGCTAAATATCATAAATGGACCCGTCATAATGTCAATCTGGATTTGTTACGAGTATTTTTCAAAATATCTACTGACTAAACAACGAGAAGTGCAGACCATTACCCGAAACACTTTTGTCATGGGCGTGTGTACAACATATGCAATAAAGTTGGAACTTACCTTACGTTTGTAAACTCAATCGTCTTATTTATCAATATAGGTCTTGCTAGGAGATAACTTGAACTAACAACGTCAACATTGTCTAATTTAATGTCCATGATCGCAATAATTTCTTTGTTGTTGTCGTTTTGATTTATTTCCAACCTAATTTTGTCATTTTTATCCTGTAGAGATAGAAGGACACAAAACAAACAAAACGTTTAATACAAGTAATGTGATTTTGACATTTAAGAACATTGACTGCCTAACTGAAATTACTTTTGAAAGTTCTGTTTTTATTCAATATTGTAAGACATGTAAGCTTGTTATTGTTTCTAAAATATTCTATTTTTAGAATCATTATTTATTTATTAAATAACTACTTTTTGTCATTTTTAGCATATAAGTAATGTATACGCAATATTCCTATTCAAATAAGGACAGTAAAGTAATAATACTGTTTTCAGCGTTCTAATAATTCACTATGTATAAACGTTCCTAAAATTGAATGTCACCTTTCTCCGAATTTCATGTTAGATTGTTGACATTTTAGAAAGCACGATTATTTCTTTATTCCTGGATTAACATGTCTGTTACTTCACAAATTTGTAGTATCCATTATGTTTTGATGTTATAATCAGTAATTGTTCATGAAACATGCTCTAATCAATTTATTTTTTGTCAAAATAATAATTCCTTTAAAACTTTCCCAAAATGTTCAGGAGGCTGCCATCTTTGTTTTAGGTACTCGAGTACCGATATCTGTAGTTTGTTTAGAAATGAAGCATATTTGACTTTACTGTGTAACATGTATTTTTGTATTATGTGATTATAATGTCTGCTTCTCAATTGTTCAAGAGATTTACTGTAATAATTTATTTGTTGTAAAACAAGACCGCAACTATTTGTTCGGTCATTCCGCGTAGTAAAAGTTGGGTTGTGGAATCACCCTAATTCTCTTTAAATTGTAATAATCCTGCTAAATTACCATAAGTATTTAATTGAGATGTATTAAATAGCGTAAGTGTTATTTCTCAACATAATGATTACTTACAACTTTATATGTTTACTTTGTATTTTGTAATTATGATCTCTTGAGCTGTTTACTCATTTTGGGATGGGAATTCCTAACCAATTCTGATTGGCTTAGATAAATCCTAAGTGCATTCTCATTGGTCGGGAATCCTTTCCTAAATTCCTAAACGGCTCAAAGGTTATAAATAGAGCGACAGTCCTCATTTTGGAACAACAACGCCCACTAAAGTTGCTTAGGCGCGATAATTCAAAACTGAGCAGAAAACATCAAAACTGAATTTTAGTAAGTTACTATCTAGGAAAGACTCCTAAATCACATTGGAATATGTATTAAACTTTTATTAAGCAACTTTACCTGAATGAGAGCTGACGTACTTCATGTTATAACTTTTAATCCTAAACTAAACGGATATTAGACCAAAGAATCCAAACTTGATAAAAGCGTTGTTGATTTATATTTTAGGAAATCATAAAATCACTTAACATAGCGCCTTATGAAATGATGCCGAAGCTTATTTCTGTATATTGATGATAAGATATATTAAATGTTAGAATATATATGCAGTTTATGTATACAAAACTATGTATACACTATTAAACCAAAGAATTGAAACTTGATGAAAGCGTTGTATTATTTATTCCGGAAATCCTAAAGAAAAGATTCTATTAATATAACATTGAAACCGGGTGCTGTATATAACTGATGCTAAGTTAGCATATATGTTTATACAGTAGAACTTGTGGCGTATTTTTGAAACAGCTATCCTGACACTGCGGCAAAAGTACGTTACAATATTATTCCCAATTTTATGAGGATATATTAGAAACTATATAACGAGCTTAAACCTATAAAGCTAGGCGAAAATCACAAAAGCTTTCATTACTTCGAGAATGCACCTTTCAAAAAAAAACACATAAATTACTTGCCATTTTTAAAAATAAAACATGTAAGTGATCCATGCTCCATGTTATAGATTGCCTAAATACTGTTGGAATTTAATAAAAGTTCATTAACTTATATTCATTCTAAAGAGGAATCTAAAACATGTTTGCTAAATATTAATAAGTCCAAATATTAGCCTAAATTATTGCATAGTTACTATAAACTCGAGATATTAGCTTAAATACAGATGTAAAAATATCCTTAAAATTTTTATGAGTCTAAACTGCAATCGTAAAAAATATATTTAATGGTGATATACAAGCATCCAAATTAAATTAGTCTGATAATAATAAACTAAGAAATTCTAAACGTAATGCGAATAATGCTCAGCACTTTCAGTCCTGGAATGAGCTTAAATCTACTATACGATTGATAAGCTCCAACCATTTTAATATCCATGTTAACTTTGTAACATCTAACATGATATATATATAAAACAAAGTGTGAATAGGAATGAGCTCACGTGCACAGTGAAAACTAAAGAAGAACAGCTACCCATATTTTACTGCTGTGCCAGAATAAACTGTTGTTTATTTTGTCCATTGGATTCGATTCGTCAACCAGATTTCCAAAGCAATCGATAAGTGGCTCCTCAGCTGGAGAATGTTTAAGAAGAGTGTGTTCAAGGCTGCAAAAAATAAAATATAAGGTTCCTAGTTCGCCTATTTAGGTACCATGCCAGATTAAAGAAAAAGCAGACTGCCAAATACCCCGCCGAGAAAAGATATAAAACGACAATAGTCTATAGCACACACTAACATTAAAATACACACACACAGGACAATAACCCAAACAAGACAAGAAATACAAATTAAACTTAAAATATAGCAAAGGACAAAGACCCCAAAATTATGATATTATAGAGATTTGCCATTATTGTCCATTACAATTTTTCTTACTCTGTTCTATTCAGCTTCAACTCTTATGTAATATCGCTTAGCTTTTATAAGTAATTATCTAAACCAAGCAGTGCAAAAAGATACTCGCTAGAGTTAAATCTGCTTTATTTTTCTTCAACATTATTTTGGATACTTGTATTTATGAAGAAATGCCTGTTTGATGATGGAATAATGGCAGTTATTACTTGTGCGAATTCAAACTAGTGATTGCAAATATTTGTATAGGGTATCAGTAGGGTTAGTCTAACCAACTGACAGTGTGACAGGGGTTTATATACATGCGTTGTTCTATTTCATATACCGGTATGGGCAATATCACCCCTATACGTCTTAATAGGGATTTTTCTACCCAGAACAAAAAGAGTCTCAGAATCTAGCTTTGGATGTTGAAATATTTTGACTATCAGAAGGTTCTGAACCACACTTGTTAGTCAATTACTCTTGATGATAGTCAAATCGGGTTTTCTATGGATGCATGAATATCAATGGTCATCGGTTTATGTGATATTTTTGAATATAATGTAGATTTATACTTTTGAAATTGAAATATGGTAATAGTTAAAAATGATAATTATAAAAAAAATATTATAAATTGACTTCCATTGCATCTCTGTTGAATTTATTTCAATATATCCTTACTTTTTAAATATTCCGACAAAATTTCAATTCATATAACAAAGTATTAAATAAGCACACAATATACAAACATAGAAATGGCAACTTACACCTATGAAATAGGTGATATACTTAAAACATGTAACTTTTCATTTTGTGAACGAAAAATTAGGTGTTACTTAAGGTATGAGCCACCTAATGCATTACCTCCGCTTTGAAGAGTACTCAAATAGGCTAGAACTACTGTCAACTGCATTGTAACTGAGGGGCGCGGGTTCAAGCCCCAGAAGAGGCAACTTTTTTTTCTTTCTTTTTTTTTTTCTTTGAACATTTTTTGTGTCTCTCAGATCACTCTTGATAAGGAAAAAGTGTTTCATTTAAATTTTAAAATTATTATTGGTATTTTTTGGCTAAATTGTTACAAATTTATTATAAAATATGGTACCCGATATTTTCAAAGTCAAATAAAATAAAAACTAGACGGTAAAAGTATTTTATATTTGACAAGTGCATCCAATATACTTTTAAGAAAATTTATGCAAACTTTGAAAACAGCCCCTGATTTGAGTAAATTTTAGGGATATTTTGAACAAGGCCCTCCAAGTAGAAAAATGATCATACAACTACTTAAAATGGGTGGGGTAGGGTAACATTTATATACATATTTCAAACATTTTGAGTAGAAACAATAATTTTGATGGGTCATTTGTTAGCTGAATGCTATTATTTGTTTCTAAAATATTTTCCATAGGAAAACATTATTTCATAATGATTATATAATAGAATAATTAGAGTTCTCATTTCTAAATAAGAGCCCTTCTAATAGCCAAGTTTTACTTTAGAAAAATCTCCCTAACTCACAAACCATACAGTAAACTTTGTTTAAATTTTGCATTCTTATGTCTTTTAAGGTATATAACTGACCTATGTTGTCAATTTTATAGTTCCTTATAGTGCCCATTAGGGGGCTCATACCTTAAACAACCAAGAAGAACATTATCAAGACTCGAGTAGGGCTCTGACCTCTGTTCTTTTCGTTTGCTTTGCCTTAAGATTATAACAATTCTTAACATTAATTACGTCCATTGTTATTGTTGTACATGTGTAACAGCTTTTTTTTTCGTTTCTTCTAGCATTTGTTGTATTGTTTTCTATCATTTCACCAAGCCTTTTACTTTTATTGTATGTGTCTATTTTACCTTAAAAGTGTCTTTGTTTAAGAAATAATACATCCCAAACAGTGATTTTATCGCTCAATAACATCACTGTATGGAGTTCGGATGCGAGATAAATTATATATAAAGATGCGCTTCCGAACGACAACCTGATGTAATCAAGCGAAAAATCACTGATTTGGATATATTTTTTCAATTCGAACACGACATCAACAATAAATGTTGTCGTGCCTGATATTAAGCAAAACTGCGCCGGATTTGTTTCTGTACCTATTTTCAGCGCGTCGTATTTTTAGTGGTTAAATCAGCTGTATAATGATTACGTCACATATCAGCTGCTGAAAAAAACGTTATTTCTGGCGATTCTGCTTTGACTTGAGAGTAAAAACTTGTAACAATATTGAGCTGACATTAAGCCCTGTAGAGTTACAAGTAAACATTTATAAACTTTT